ATGGGCATTAAAAAGATGGTCCTATTTTGAGCGTCACTCATAGATTCTTTTGTACCAGTTATATCCACACTAAGGACCAAACTGTGTATTTTGACCAATTTGCAATACTGAAATTTATTATTAATAAAATTGTATTTTTTTAAGCTAGCAACTGTTTGGACAAAGAAGAGGACGATTTTGAAACAAGGTGAGTTTACTACGGAAAAATAATATTAATGAAATTATGATAATTTTTTTATTCTCCTAATAAATATCCTTAAAATAAACTTAATTAATAAAAAAAATTTTTAGATTCAAGCCCATTAAATTTATTTTCCAAAAATTTAGGCCCGGTAGAAAATATAATAATGAGGCCTGCGCCGAGAGCCGATCCATTTTATGAAGGTTTCTAACTGGCTTACTAGCTTATATCATTTTACGTTTTTCTTAAATATAAAATACTTAGGAGTGCTCAAATTAATAGAATGATATCATAAATATAATCTCATTTTTCTTTAGTATCAGTTGTTTTATGAGCGGTGGAGGTAGGAACAGTTTGCATCCATTTTTTGAAAGGGGTAAGCATTTAAAGGGGGTAGACTAGGGGTATAAATTTATTGGTGGTTACCTATTATATATTTATGGGCAAAATATATTGCTGTAATATTTTTATTATAGACTATTATAATACTATGATATTGCTAAACATCGATCAAATCTATATATTTCACACAATTATAGACATTATTTTCTAAATAAAACTTATTTCTGAATATGCTATCCTTTTAAATGTAAATGGGTTAGAGACTCTATCATTAAACTCATATTCATGCCAAACAATACACAATAATAATGCATTTATTGTAAATGTGAGTTTTTTAATTGAACTATTCACAAAATTTTGATAGTTGTTAGTATAGCATTAATAATTTAAATTATTCTTTTTAGAATTTATAAAGGGACTAATATAATAATTAAAGGTATAATTAATAATGAAGGAATATCGCCGCCACAGATGGCAAATTTTTTTAAAGGGTATATAGATAGGTTGTTAGAGGGAGGTGTTTGCATCTAGTGAATATGCTCTCAAGCAGACTCTGATAGATGTTACCTTTATTAGTCTTGGAAATGATCAATCAGGTCTCTCTGGTATATTTATTTCGGTATTGTTCTGTGGTGATATGAGATAGAATAATTTATATAATAAACTTCCCCTATCCCACTAGACGAGAATTAATGTCGATCTAAATAGGAGGGACTTTTTTAAAAGAAAAACTATATATGAGTAAAGTTCTTGATTATATTTCCGATTAAATGCTGAAGTTTTTTTCCTTAGATTTTTCTAATGATCTTTATGACAAATATTTTCATTATTATAATATATTCATAATGGTTCCATGTCATCCTGGTATTAACGCTAGCAGCAGTTTCATTACTAGATGGTGTTTAATTTTTTATTTTGCTTAATATCGCTACTAAATGAGGTGTCGTTTCTTAGATATTGGTAGTTGTTTAAGGACTGATAGTTATAGCCATGGCATTTTTATCTTCGTATTTAAGTAGAGTACTACAGGTATTCTTTCTAATAATATACTTGAAATTTTATTAGATATATATGTCGTATTAGGAGATGGAATCTACAAGGATTTGGAACCTCTCAATTTTAAATCAATTACTAAGAATGATTTTTAATTTTTAAACATCTGATTTGACCAGAAGTGTATTCCAGAACTTATAGAGTACCAACACTGTGAATTTCAAGTAATTTTGCCTACACTTAATTTATCTTCTCATTTGTATACATATTTTTCAAATAAATTGAAAAATATTGCAAAAATTGTCTTAAATTTACAGGGCAGTTACTCATGCTGAAATACATTTCTGGTAAAATCAAACTTTCCAAATTTAAAATTGCTCTTAATAAAATATATAAAATTACCATGGTTTCCATATCCCAATATGATACATATGTAAATCAAATTCATATATCTGAATAAAAAAGGCAGCTCTAAACATATTGGGGTTGCTTTGCTAGGATTTTTTACATTAGGTATGCTTTTTCCGTGCGTCAACTCTTGGGTAAACTAATTTTTATTCCAACTTTAATAAAATATTTAAGGATCTTTTTTGGGAATATTTGGAATTGGAGCGATTCCAAGTAAAACTCCCCAAAATTAAAGTTGCTTGTAGAAGAGTGTCCCAATTTCAATAGTAGCAGTTTATTTCTTAATTCTAAAAATTTATTTCTTACACCGCATTATAATATGTTGTATAAATAATTATATTTTAAATATTTCTAAAAAAATATTAAATAATCTTCAAGACCAATACCGAAAATATATAGGCTTTCTTCTCTGCACTACAGCACATTTGTCACCCTCTCTGTCATTATTTCAGGACTCAAAATAAGTCTATTAACAGGTTTATAAATAAAATTAAAATATCGATATAATATATTTTAATTTTTTTTTATAAAGGAAGGAAACAAAAATCATTCTTTCGATTTTAATATCTCCGCCCATTCGAATATTTTTCTCTTTCAGCAAAACTCATATTTATTTCTTAAAAAAAATCCGAAACCCCATAATACAATTATGACATTTAAATTATATTTAATTTTTTAAATTTGCCATTCACTCGAGATTAAAATTGAGTATAAACTATATTTTGTTAATGTTCTTATCTAATTGAATATTTTTCATACCTTTAGGATTAAAATTTTTAAAAACATTTTGATAATTGGCTTAATGAAATATTTTTCTAATAATGATAGCAATGCAATTATTATTTTTTTATATTTGAATTTAGACAAAATAACTACAAATAATTGTTAATATGCACGCTTCATCAAACATATTCGTAATGAGGATTACAATTTAAAATTGAATTATATCTAATATTTTTTAAAAAAGTTGTCATTTTAATATAGATATGGATTAATATGCAATGCCCCTACAGAATTCGTTATAATAAATTAGATATTTTAATTAACCCCAATTATTTGATTGTCCTCAAATCTAAAAATGCTCGTAAAAATATAGGTTGAATTAGGAAGGCAATAAGCGTCATATTGGTCTCAATTTTTTGAAATATGCTGTTTTTAATTTTAAATTATTTATATTATCTTGTAAGATTCCCCCCCCCCCTCCCGACCATAGAAATTTATATTTTTACGATTTTAAATATTATTTATTCTTTAAACAAAAATTTTATATCATAAAAATAAAAATAAGCCCAATTTGAGAAATCAAATTGACAGATTAATGCATCCACATTTTTTTTTCTTCTACTACCATATTAACTACCAGAAGATGAATATGCTATTAAGATTACTGACATAGATTATGCGATATGTTTATCAACGAGAATATCGTATATTATGTAAAAGGTATTTTTTATCTAGTCAACAGTCTCCATGAAAATATTTTCAGTATCAGATGTTCCCCAACTCAAATAAACACATTATTATAAAAAATATCTGTCATCTTTTGACGGTATCTTAAAGCTTCAATATTTCTTTGGCTAAAATTTTGATTTAGCCGTTTTTAAAAACCACCTAAAAGGAGTTGGTTTAACTATATTATTCTTAAATATTATTATTAAAAGATCATAGAAACAATCAACGATTATAAAAATAGAGCGCATATAATATAAAAATTTAAAAAAACAATTAGGGGACCGACTTACTTGCATTGCTATATGGAACCATTAGCCATGATATTTATTTTTAAAATTTCTGCCGAACTAATTGTTGAAGCATGTTGGATCGTGCCCAATGCATGTGTAATCCCAAGCAACTGAAAGACCAAAAGACCAAAAGACCAAAAATTACTAATACCCTATGGTTTTCTGTAGTTGCTTGGGCATAAATGATTGGGTTTTAGGGTCTTTGGAAAATCACCAGGCTTACCTAATTATATTTTGGCTAAAATCTTAATCGGGCCGTTTTTAAAAATCGATCTAAATAGGGCCGTTTAACAAAACTAAGCCCTTACGAGGGCTGAATATTTTTTTTTACCATCAAAACATATTTATTTGTTTCAAATATATATTAAAAATTATAACGTTAAAATACTATAATATAATTGTGCATAAAAAGGGATTAAAAAATAAATTAATAAATAAGGGCATTTAAAAAAAAAAATAGTAACTATATGGTACATCATTTATGGCAATGGCCAGGAAATTTGAATAATTTGAAATTAAAACGGACTACTTCATAGTTATTGTTATTTTTAGTTTAATTTTATTAGGACTCCTTTGACTTGAAGAAATATTAAGCCTCCGAACAATGAGTTGATATAACTAATAGCATGAATATGATATCTGACAGATATATGAGGAAATGTTAGATTATTCTTCTTTTCGATAATTTATAATGGATCGTAATTGGCATGAGAGGAGAGCAGCGGAAAAGAGAAATATTTGAAACAAACTAGCGATGCATTTCCTGATACATACATGTTAATGTTGTTTTTTTTTAAAAAAAAATTCATGAGATTCGATTGCTAAAAAATATTTTATTATATAAAAAAAATTAAAATTTAATTAACGACACGAACAGTTTATAATAGCTGCAGGAACCTGAAATTAAAATATTTCATTTAAAGTATTGGTATAGATTCTTTTTAAAAAGATATTATATAAATTTTATAAATACTAATAATGATCATTTTAGAAGTATGAAATTAATTTGCATAAATTATAATAACTAAATGGAGTACCTGAATAAGGCTAAATTTTATCTAAATTGGCATTTGACATTATTAATATCACAAAATTCTAAAAAATTAATATACCTAGATAATCTAAAATTATATAATATAATATGTTTAATTTAATAAATCAATAAAATTAATATTTGCCATCACCTAGGGCATTATTTCGTCTTATGAATAAATAATTCCAGAGTGAAGCTCTATTTTCTATAATACCGGAAAAAAATAAACAAGGAATTATTATAATTCGTTTGATTAATGAGATAAAAGTAATTTAAATATAGTAGAATATATAATAAGGTATTATGATATTTCTAAAAAGGCTAAACATTTCTTTCGAGTGATTGCTAACTTTAGTCTAGTTCTAACTTCGTAATGCATGAAGAAGTATAAAACAGGATTGATAGCGCTATTAATATAAGCTATCCATAATAATAAATTAAACAACCACACTGGTTGTTTATAAGCATTTCTTTTCAAATATGGTTGCAGTGAAAGTAGAATAAAAAATGGTAACCAGCACAGCAAAAAGAATATTACCATTGCTATCACAAATTTGATAGCGCCTATAGTCTTACGCATTTTCAAATGTTGCATTGCAGGCGTTAAGGAGGACTTGTTAAAAATGGTTGTATTATTTTTAACCAGTACGACGACTATAGCCGCGCAAAGTATGATATTAATAAACATGAATATAAAAAAGGAAGTAGTAAATAGAATGATATGCCCCTCGGTTATGACAAATGGGCAGAATTTTCTAATGATGATGCTCTCATTGCCATAAATATTTTCCGTAAGATTAATACTCGACGAATGGTCCAACACTATATAATCTGCTGACATTGACCATCTAAAATAATCCGTATTTACTAGCATAGACGTCGAACTGTAGGTGAATGAATAGAACCATATGAGACATATGCAAATATTATAAATTCTCATTCTTTTCGATTTATTTGATATAATGGACAAAGGTTTGTACAAATTTAGGAATTGGTCCAGCGAAAGTAAAGATAAATGAATATAACTCGTAGTCGATAAAGCTACGTCTAAAATTCGCCATATCACGCAATATGGACGAGAAAAATACCATTCGTTCCACAGAGTATAAATGAGATCGAATGATACAACGAACAAGGCATATAAAATATCAGCGATTGCCAATGAGATAATGATTTTGAATCTAGTCTTAGAATGAACATCTTTCCAATATACGTAGGAGCAAATTACCGCTATATTTCCACCAATTATGCATACCCACAGCAAGAGCATCCCACTTAATTTTAAGTAAAATATTATTTCACTTAGAACCATAATATGAAAAGGAATAAAATTAACTTATAAATCTGCTAAAAAATAATTTATTTAATATGAGAAGAAGATTTTTAAAAAGAGCATATTTTCAATCAAAAAGATCAAAATATAAATGTCATTTAAACCCGTGAATAAACTAAATTTCACGTTGTTTTCGGAATATTAAATCAATATATACTACATACATAGTCAATTATAAATTATTTATATAAATTCTATAAATATCAATAATTTTCAAATTGGAGTTTATAATTAAAGCATTACATTCGAAAAGAAACCTTACTATTTGTATTATCTTTCAAAGGAACAAGCACAATCGAAACCTCTGTTTTTCAATATAGTTTTTATCTTATTAATTAATTGGGTTATAAAATACCTAGTAGGGCATGGGCCGATTTATCAAAAAAATGAATCTAGATTTAGAATCGTTTTAAAAAAAATATAGGATTTTATTTAAAGATGGGAGGGGGGGAGGTGTTAAATTTTTCTAATAATAGGTGTTAAATGATGAAAATCTAGTAATTCATAATTATGAGACGTTTTAGTAAAATGTATTTAAGTTGTTCTTTCTCAATATTTTTGTTCTTTTTGATTCGAAGTTTTATGATTCAGACAGACTTCAGAAAGTATTTGTTTTTTTTTGAAAATGGTTTCCTAGGCAGGTTTCCGCCAATTTTTTTTAAATTTTCTAAATAAAGGAAACTTGTCAAATTATTTTTTTGCATAACATAGATTTGCCACCATTTAATTGTTAACGATTAAATGGCGTCTGAGATGCCACTTATCCTTAGCAAGTTTTTACAAAAATATTTTATTAGGCAAAAGATTTGCGACGAATTTTTATAATATGTTTGGGAATAAAAAAATTTTCCTGAAAACTTGTCTAGGAAATGGCTTTGAATAATTAACTTGTTTAAAAGTGGCATTATAAATTAAAAAGTATTTGGAAGGGTTGGGGATTGGATAAAATTATGTTAAGTTGATAAAGATATAATTAGACCAGGGATTTTCTACTGTGGATCAAATCTTTGTGTATAGGGGAGAGACCAGGGCTAGTCGGCGCAATTTTTTTCAAAATCATCATAGCTCCGAAAATAATGATCGTATAAGATTTTACAAAATACCAATCTCTACCTATAAATATATACTTTTATATTTTTTAAATATTTAATAATTTTTTCTCTAAAAAAGTTTTAGAAAAAGTCATTTTGTGGTTAGTCGATCATCGATGAGGCTAGTCGAATCAAGTGGTTTATTAGGCTTCTTATGAGATTAAAAAAAAATTTTTTAGATTTTAATATATGATGCTTTATTTATATAATATTCTATATACAATTATAACAAATAAAATAATAATCTTTTTTGACATTGACACCAATCATCTAAATTATGAAAATTTTTATAATCCTGTTTACATATAATGCATACATCTTTTATTAATTTAAAAAATAATTATTTTTTCTATTTTTTATTATGGAGAATATAGAATTCTAACTAATATGGTAATCCATTTCGCCAGCTCCAAAAAAGTAACTTATGAACCAAATAAAAACTATGATATCATGTCTTAAGTATAATGTTATCCAAGTTATGGGAGCATCATCATATTTACGTTAATAAATAGTTGATTTCATACTTATGTATGACATTATTAGCACCTACTAATTCATCAATCTGTTTTTCTAATCAATAAGAACCAGCAAATTAAAACCACGGCACATCATTGGTCGTTGAGTATTATCGCTATGTCGCAACGTTGTTTTATTTCTATTTTCCCTTTGTAAAGGATCAATATTTTACCTTGCCGGTGTACATGTTTAGCGAAAATATCTTTTAGAAAAAATAAAATTAAACAGTAAAATATTTGCTTTATAAGATTTAATCCTATTATAAGTAAAAGGAACAAAATGGGACACCTCTTATTAATCGACAAATTATTAATGATTTTATTAATATATGACCTTTATAGGATTCACCATAACACTGGTATCTTACACCTTTTCTTTTGTCAGGAAACTTGTTCACTTTCTTAAAGTATACAAACATTTTTTTTAAAAAAGTTACTGTTTGCTTTTTTGCAGGGATGCGAACCCGGAAAAATTTTTGCACGGGTTCGGTTTAAGGTTTAAAAAAATAGGTGGATTAGGTTTGGGTTCGGTTCAGGGAAATATTTTTGAACCCGGGTGGTTTCGGGTTCAGCTCGGGTTTAAGAATTTTTGAATTGATAAAAAAAAATTCTACATTTAAATTATAATTCAAATACTAGACATAAATTTGGTATAAAAAATAAATTTTTTATTTTATTTATAGGCAAAATATAGTTAAAAATACAAAGCATAAGTCATGTCATGTATCAATTTTAAAAATTTTATTTAGACGTATTTCTTTAAATTAACAAATAATAATTTTTACTTTGACGTTCACTTTCATTTTCCTCTAAATAATAATCTTTGAGAATAAGTTAAAAATAAAAATAAATGGCGTAAATGAATTTAATTGTTTAAAATTTATTAACACTCCAATAGGTTCAGGTTCGGTTCGGGTTCAGATTTTTTTCCAAAAACCTGGGTTTCTTTTCCGGGTTCGGGTTTGGTTCGAATTCCTGCTTTTTTGGATGTTTTTCAATTATAACGATATAAATTAAGATAGAAAACCTATGAGGGCACTTTGGGTTTGGATCTTTTAGCAATATGAACTCCGTTATCCAAATTTAAGGCTTCCCGTAAAATAAGTTTCCTTTTAAAATTAAAATTATGATTTATGATATTATTTTTTTTATATTTTAAATTATAATATATACAAAAAAAGTAAAGGGAATATGCTTTTTGAGTTTAGAAGCCTCAAAATGTGAAAAATTGCACAAACATCGTATATGCTATACAACATTTTAGAAATTAATTATAAATTATTTATAAACTACTTTTATCGATTTTTAATAATATTTTATTTTCACTGATTCGGAATAATAATTAAATTTTTATGATAATGAAAATAGTCTTTTATTTAAAGTATGCCTATTATATGGCCAGGAATATTAATTTTTATTTTTTCTGGAGTTTTTAATGTTGCAACATTATTTGTTCCTCCATATCTTTAGTAAGATTTTTTTTAGATTTATTTTTAATAATTGAAAATGTTAGGAAATATAAGTATGGGATTTTATCATAACAAGCGATCAGGCGCGTACGCAGGAATTTGGTCTGGGGGGGGGGGGATAATAAATTTTTTTAAGAAATAATATTTTTAATTAAAAATACTAAGCATAAATTTATTAGGATTAATAACTTTTCTAATACACAATTTTAAACTAATGTGAATTAAAAAAATTATATATATAAACCGGCATTTAAATGTGAATCATAAAATATAAAGTGAATATAACTCACGATATGAATCACCTAAATGACCCAAAATTGAAATTTGAATTTTTTGAGCTTTTAAAATATATAAAGTATAAAAAATTTAAATGTTGTAAATATAAATTAATACACAAAAAGTTTCTTAGGAATAATTGTATTTTGTATGTTTTGAGCTAATTTTTCAATTATCAATCCTTGCTTGGCGTTAAATGTTTATGAATATTCAAAAGATCCAAATCAATCAATCTACTTTCAGATGTTGTATTTCATAGGTATGTTTTTCACAGACTTGCAGGCCCGGCCCCTGAGCCGGACCGTATTTTAATTTTTTTAAATATACCCGGGCCGGGCTCGTAATTTTTTTTTAAAAACACCCGGGCTGGGCCTGAAAATTTTTTAAGAAAAAATATCCGAGCCGAGTTGTATATTTTAAAACCAAATATTTGAAATCGCCATTATTAGCTATAGATATCAAAAATAAATATAATTTATTTTTAAAAATTCGGGCTAAGCCAGCCGGGCCGGGCCTGAAAATTTTTTTAAAAAAAACCCGGGCCGGAAAAATTTTAAAATAAAATCTGGGCCTGGTCCTGCAAATGGTACCTCTGCAAGGCTCTGTTATTCTACTTAAAAAAGTGAATGTTCTCTCATTAGTTTACTAAAGAGCTGCTAATATATATATAACCATTTTAATAATTGGGAGTATAATCTAAAATGTATTTGAAATAAAAAGCATCCATAGCATTTTTTGGGACTGTATCAACCATAGTTAATCTTTTAGTCATAGTTATTCAGCTAATAAGGCATCATAAGATATTTTAACATCTTCATGATAAAAATATAACAAATATTTATATTTTTTTCTATCACCATATGAAAAAGGTTGGGAGAGGGGACATTTGTTTTATAATACTCTTCTACTGATCCTATATTAATGTTTTGATGATGAGCTTGCTTGCTGCAAGTCGAGGGGGACAAATATTTAACACGTATAGCTCTGCTTTTGACTCAACAATAACATATAAAATATGAAATTCTTCAACAACACTAGCTCTATTTCCTTGAGTTCTAATAAAATGCTCTCCGCTATTCTCATCTTCTTAATCAAGTCAATGTTATGTTAATAAAAGTATTACATAAAATAGTTGTATAATTAAATAATACATTCTAATGAGAAAAAAAATTTGGAATAAGTATTGAATCCAATAATTTTCTTGCTTCTGAGTAAATATTTCTTTCAAGCCATTGTGATATTTCAGTAATAGCATTAATAATCAGCTCTTCTAACTCCAAAATAGCTGTTATTGTGGCGGAGACTCGATCTCGTTGGACAAGCTTGCAATTTTTTTCTCCCTGTTGGACAAGGAGTTTCAGAGATAATTATTATTTTATTAGAAATTTAGATAAATATTACGCCACTAAAATTTGAAAATAATAGGTAAATTACGCCAAGGAAAACTTGAAATCGAAATTGATTGATAAAATAACTTAGTAGATGAATGTGATAAATAAAATATATATATATATATATGTATATATGAGATAAGAATAAATATTAACAAATATAAATTAATATTAACAATAATATTTTTGAAAAATATAATCCGGCATCTGCATTTTTTGGCTTTGGGGGGATTTGTC